ATAAGCACTTAAAAATTCTTAGAAGTCTTACAGAAACATGTTACGAGCCTTACGATTCTGTTTAGAATTTAGGCATAAACTTAATCTATATTTGTATAACATTTGTAGAAATTACATTTGTAGAAATGGACATAAAAATTAGAAGAAAATGAAGCGTAAGTTGAACCGAGACTGAAGCTAATCTACTTTGGTGGAAACGGACATAAAGCCGGTATTCATAGTCAGTTTTTATATTTAAAACTTTCTTAAGTACAATATTAAGATGTCATAAACAGTCACAGATCGTTTTATAGTTCATTCTTATTTTAAGACCGTTCTAAAGACTTTCTAAATTCTTTGGAGTGGAATCAATTTTAAAGAGTGAAATCTCACTCTTAAAAATTGACAATAAAGTCACTCTTTTTCAATACTAGCTCAATTGTCACTTTTTGTCCCTCTTTAGAATTAGATTTCTCTTAAGATCTTTAATATCTTAAAATATTAATACAGCTCTGTGATTGGCTTATGACATTTTAAGACTGTACTTAAAATAGTCATAAATATAAGAATTAACTATGAATATGACCATAGTGTTGTACTAGCACCTTAAAATATTACTTAAATAAGATGGTCTTAAAATAAAAACGGACTATAAATACCGGCCTAAGAGATGTTCTAAGAAAATGTTTAAAAGATATCCTATATCCTATAAAGACGTCCATCGAATAAAGTGTGCTATGTGGGAAGAAACAACGGCCACTCAATTTCTTTTCTTATTCACTTCAGGAAGATCTCTCTGAACAACCCCGAATGTAGAACGTGAAAAGAATCGGTGCGATTTTTTATTGGTGAACGCTTTATGTTTGTGAAACGTTGAAGAGATCTTACAGTTTGAAATAACTTTGAGAAAGTCACAATCGCGAGTTCATTCTGTCATTCCTCTGCGAGATGCACTCAGGACTGTTGCATTAGATCTGGAGAACGACCTTTCCTTGATCGATCACTCGTGACTTCCAATATGATGGAGAAACGACTTTTCTCTTGCGTTTCGAGATCTTTAACCATCGGAGATTCGTACGCGTGTTCTCTAAATGAGTACGGAACAAATTGCGAATCGGATCGAAGTCGAAAGAGTACGTGCGATTCGTCCGAGTGATTTATGTCGGTTAATGGTGGTGTATGCTAATTAATGGCGATAGCAAGACACGGAAACGTTCGCGTGCAAACGGATGAAAAAACGGCGAGAGAATCTATTTCCCTTTTTAATTACACTGTCACAGAACGCGAAACTTGATGAAATTTTACTTCTGTAATAACGTAATTTTTGTAATAACGTGGCCTTCATACTCATATGTATGTAATTTCATTTCCTTCCCCTTTTAACGATTCGTATCTGAATTACCAAAAGATTGCTATAATCTCACAGAAGGAAGAACAATTAAAGAAATTTGCAAAAATAATCTGTGCATAGTATTTCAGTTCAACAACAAAATAGAAATTTTCTTTGGCGATAATTATGAAATAATAATAGTCTATTATAAAAAACGTAATTCGCGAGTGACGTTCACGGAATATGTACATTTAACTCTTGGAAACTTATTCTACAACGTTTCGTTTTATACGATGCAAATATCGTATAATAGACTGATCGATCGCTCTGATTTTTATCGGCTTGAGTATTTAATCACAGGATTGCTGAACGCGGTAAATTAATGGGATTAATCGCAGAATAAAGACTTGGAGCGTCTATTAAACTCCAAGTATTCGAGTGCAGTTTTAAACGACCTGTTTGTGACTTCTTAATTTAACTGCCTTTGCTTCGCTCGCCTTTTTACAGACCGCTCGAGCAACGTGCTGCCCTAATTCCGAACATATTTTCAGTGTAAAGTAATGTGATTATTGGTGTTCGGTACAGCCTAATCATCGGTGAGTTAATTGGCCTTGAACGATTGAGATCGACACAATTTCTCCCCGCGGAAGTCATAATCGAGGAAAAGAATTCGCTGAATCAGATTAAAAAAATCGCGTGAATCGCTCCGTTCATTCAGCTGAGGAATGTTTTACACGCCTGTATGGTCTCACTCGCGGTCTATGTACTTGAATTTGAATCAAATCGATGTAGGAGGCGGCGCCTCGTATGAACGAAAAATCTTCTTACGAAAGTATCGATCCTTATGATACCGAACTGTTTTGACCTTAAAGAGGTAACTAACTCTTCTTCTTCACGTTATCACTCGAATCTTCAAGATACATTTGCTTATTATCATGTAATCTGAAGTCTAATTCATTCTAACAATAAATGTAAATGCCTAATAAATAAATATAAACAGAAGATACACGGAAAGAACAGTTTTGCTGAAGTACTTAAATTTAGCTAGATATACTCCAAATCTGTAACAATGAAAATTTTACTGTAATAAAAGTGAGTAGCAAAGTCATTATACAGATCTAAAAATTGTCTCGGACCATTAAAATAATTATGTAAAACGTTCAAATTAGTGGCGAGACTGTTAAAATTTTTTGCAATATTGGTCATCATGTTTGTGCGTCCTATATAATTATTTTGACAGTCCAACAAAATTATTTTCAGATCTGTATCTAAACTTCTGTATCTACAAATCTGTAGCTAAACTTTTAGCTACAGATTTATACTCTTGAAAAACCGTTGTTTCCGTGTATATTTTTAACATGTATATTTTAAGAAGCTTGCGCAATATTTTTGCTTACAATATTTGAAAGATTAATTTTAAGTATGAAAATACTATTGTTTAGTTTAATAGGTACTTAAAATAAGTAATTTTTAGTAAATTAGACATCATTAAATCTGATTTCTGTAATTTTGAGCAGTAATTAATGATAAATATAATCAAGTATTATGAAGAAAAGGATAAGACGTGACAGAGATGGTTTTTGTTCTTTGAGACTAAAGTTTACGATTCATAAAATCGATTGAAGTAAATGACGTCGAGGTTACGAGACACATTTTAAGATTGCACTGCAAGGTTGCGTTTATCGATGACCACGTGACCTTGAATATTCTCTTCAATAATCATCTTCGAGGTGTAATCGTGATAGTGACTTGCACGCGAGAAGTTCGACGCATCTGTCCATGCGGGCAAATATTTATATTTCACAATACTTCTATATTAACATAGTAATAATGCTTTATTTAGACAAAGCGAATATAAAATTGCATTTGGCCTCGCGACTTGTTATACTTCGCACCGATTTCCTCGAGCAAAAACATGACTCCCTTTATCATGGTAAGACCGAGACGAGTAAGAAAGGAGTAGAATTTCACGAGCCACTTCTCCATTGTGTTCTCTAAAGAGAAAATGTTTTTTGGACCGATGTCAACTTCTACAAGATAGCACTTTAGAAGGTGAAAGAAGACTCTCTGGCTTTTCTAAGAACATGAGATAATAACCGTTTTTCAATGTGTGAATTGTAGATTGATGATTTAAAATAGAGCCGAAACATTTGTTTTTATTACATTATCATAAATATATTATGAAATTTAATTAAAGACAATTTTATATTGAAGATTTTGCACACTAATTGCGTTAGAATCATATAGCTCTTTTTTAATGTTTTGAAAAACATGTTTTTATTCATCCAAAAGACTATTGTATGTGTATTTTCTTTTGGCATGAGCTTACTCGTTTTTATTCCTATCACTTGTCACGCTCGCTGAATCATAACCCCCGAGATCGGCCGAGGGTGGGAACTGGGAGCGGCGCTTTCGAAAATCGCACGAGCGATGGGTTTGCGAAACTCCGTGAGGCTTCAGTTATCTAACATGCGCATGCATACGTGTTTATCGCCGAGGGTTTCACGCGAGAAATCGCTCTCGTACAAGGCGCGGTCGAAAAACCGGTACGTCTGAATATATAGAGCGAGGAAGTTCCGGACGCGGTGTAACGTTCGCGTAATACCCGATTATTTCAAGTAAATGGTCATTACGGT